GAAAAATGTGCAGAGGTGTTGGTTCTCTCAAGAAATGAAAAAAAAAGATGAATGAAAGCAAAAGAGAGCCACTACCAAAAATCTGAATCATGCTCATTAAGTAGTGTTTCTTAGCAGTCTGGCTTAGAAATACTAACATTATTGTGACCTCCTTCGCTCTTATGCTCTAAAGAATTTGATTAATGCAGAATGGCAGAAAGAAAGTAAGTGGTTTTATTGGCTGTGATTGTGTTGGGTCTGAAACTGTGGAACCTTGTGCTATGAATAGTTCCACCACCTAAAAGGCTTTTTCCCCATGTCCAAGACCCTAGCCAGTCACTTGAACCTGTGTCTAAGACCTCCGGATTAGTTAGTGGTGACATCCCTTGTGTGAACTCTAACATTTGAAGGCTGCCATCATGGTGAAGAGACGTTAGGATTTGAGAGAATAAGCATGCACATTTTTTGCATCAAATTGTCCTGACCCCACTGGTCGAGAGTGAGCGATTAATTTCCTTGTTCTTTATGCTCTTTACCCCAGTGAGGACCTAGATGGCTCAATCTTGAGTTTGATGTCTTGAGTTTGATGCATGCAATGACTGTCTTGGCTAAGTGGTTGAGTCGAGTCTATGTTGGTTGGTGAACAGAAAGGATTCCTCTTCCTTTACCCGATTTTGCTGCACTCGAATGTCCTCTGTGGTGGTTGTCTAGGTTGTTGTTGAAGTTGACCATATGTTAATGATCAAAAGCCAGTATGATTCACGTATTATGTGCCTATATGATATGTCCCCAAAGTTGGTATGATTGAAATGTGTTGAGCTTACCTTGTATCTGACTTGGTTTGCTTGGGGACAAGCAAACGATTAAGTGTGGGGGAATTTGATGAATTGATATATACACATGTTTTTGTCCACCATTCTTAAACCGTTTGAGCCTCATTTCTCGTGTCTTAGGCCGATTTCACGCTAGGTTATTCTTGTTTGTGACATTTCAGGTCCTAGTACTTGAATGGAGGTTTGGGAACGAGTTAGGGGTCGATTAGATGAAGATTGGATGTTTGGCGAGAAGCTGGGAAACCACACGGCCAGACCTAAAAACCACACGGTCGTGTGATGTGGCCGTGTGGAATCCTTTTGCGCGGGCAAATTGCATTGGCCGTGTAATGGACCCTTTGTGGTCGTGTGGAAATCACCGAGACCTTCACACGGGCAAGCCGAGATTTCACACGGCCGTGCAGTTCTGGCTGTGCAGCGTATATGAAGCCACTTAAGTGAAACGCCGCGTTTTGCACTTTCACACGGGCAGCTGGTAAATCTACACGGTCGTGTGGCCTGGCCGTGTAGTCGGGAAATTCTAGGTTTTAACCCAATTTTGGGTCTTTTGAAGAAAAATCGAGTTTTTGAGCAAAAAACAGAATTTTAGAGAGAGAAAGTGCAAAGAACAAGCCCTAAGAGCTATTTGGAGTGGATCTCTCACCATCGAAGCCCAGATTGCATCCCCAGGAGTGAAGTTCGACATCCCAGAGCAGATTATCCCCATCTTTATGAGTATGACTGCTCTGATTTCTGTTTCTCTCTCTCTCTCTCTATATATATATATATACATATATATATATATATATATATATAGAGTAGAACCCTCTCTCAGTTGGGTATGAAGAACCCTAGTTCCATGTGTTAGGAATCTTGATTGTAATGACTTTGGATTGATATACTGATTGATTTTAATCGATTGATGCATGATTCATTGAGTCGATTGAAGCCTGATCATCTTTTCTTGATTTCTGCTGCAACCGGAGATGGATAGAATCTGATTAGGTTGTTAGAGCGTCATTAATCGATAGTAGTAGATTGATTATACGAGAGTTAATTGATTTACTGCTTTGTACTGGAACCCGATTCCAGTAGTGGAGTTCTGTGTTTATTGCCTCAGCAGTCTATCCCGGTGAAGGTTAGTCGCCTGCAGGTTAGTCTGTCTGAGAGGGCTTGGTCAGCTTAAGAGATTCCAAGCTACTGTCGGATCTTCCGCAGTTTAATTAACGGTAAATCAACCAAGGGTAAGGACAACTTTGACCTAACTAAGGGGCTAGGGGGACTCATTCCCGAGTGACTCTTCCCTTGTTAAAGAACTTCGAATTTCCTGCTTTCTTACTGCTTTTGCTTAAATCACAATCACTCGACTTAGTTTACTAGATAATAGATAATCACGGAGTAGGCAGTAGATCTGGACCCCGGGTTGACAAATAGAGCTTGCCATTTTACTGCATTTCCGGACTGCGATTACACTTGGTCGCAGTTTGGTGTTGTGTTTTGGCGTGTCACATACCGAAGGAAGAAAATAATACGTAAAAGAACATATGCCATAACAAACACACCATCACGACACAAGATTCACAAGATTCAAATAAAAAAAACTGTAAACAATCAAACGACTAGAGTAGTAGTTCTCAACTTTTCTTAATAACCCAAGAAATCCCTGTCGACGATGCCAAAAACTTGATTCTCACCATGTTTTACGGTTTGTAAATTGATGCTCACTCACTCCTAACACTAAGAAAGACAAGTGTACCAATACTAGGCTTGTGGTAATCGAAAGTTGATGCTCACTCACTCACTCCTAACCTTAGGTATACTATTACTTTGCTATAAACTACTATCTTATCAAACAGAAATCTGGTTTAAAAACTAACCTAACCTAACTATGAAAACAACCAACTAACTAGTTGTGAGGTCTCTAGAGATTGGATGGTTTCTTAGGTTCGAATCCTTCTAGTACTAGGACGGGTAAGTGATTGATGCAGACCCTAATGTGATTTGCCTAACTGCTAAGTTGCGAGAAGTCGTCTAGTCTAGTGGTTGTTGCGATGGTCACGACTCACAACCACACTTCTCAGCCCTTAGCTATCTCAATGGTAATGTAACTAGCTAGGTAACCAAAGAGTTAAGGTTAGACACTCAATTGGGGTTAACCCCAATGCAAATGGAACTTTGACTCAATGGTTACATAATCCGAACCCCACAATATGTTATGTGTTCCAACGCTAACCTTGGGGAATGGTCATCACATCCTAAGTCATTAGCATACATTAGTTATCTCTACTAAAGCAAGATAATGGCAAGATGAAACATCACCAAATCGTCGATATATAGGAATCAAGGCTAGAACATACTAGAATTCATCTTTCATAAATAAACACAGGGGCTCAAGTCATAAAGAGAGAAAGTAAATACAAACTACAGCAAGGAAAAGTTTGAAATTATCTTATTCTCTTGGATTGCAGCTCTATCCTTGGTTGTTGGATGGATTCTTCATTCCTTAGATCCTCCAAGTCGGTTCTCTCACTAAATACTACCCAACCCTATTTTCTCACTCTATGGTGGATCTCCTTCATCAAGTGCTAGAAAAGGCGTATATATAGTGTTTTGGTGCACGCACAGCCCCCGGGTGTGACCCTTGACAAAAGTCATAGAATCGTTGAAAGCTCTGCGTCTCCACCTATTCACAAGCGGCAAATAGTGGCCTCGATCTATGAGTTAATAACGATGATCTCAAAGTCACGGTCATGATCTCAGAGTCACGACATAATTTTTCTCGCGGTTAGAATCCTTCTTGGCCGTGAGTGGTCGTGAAACCTTATGCTGGATTTTTTGTAAGACGACTGGTCACGGACGTGACATGTGGCCGTAACTTATGTAAAGTTACATTTTATTGCTACTATACGATGCAAACGTGCTTGGATGAACTCCAAACCGTTTCACAATCAATCAAAGGACTTGGAACATCAGAAAATACACCATAGAAGCATAAAACATGACAAAATGGGTAGTATCCTCATGATGAACCTTCACAACAACCTAACTCATGCTAAAACTCATATTGTATGTATAGGAACGCTGCGCATATTGGCAAAAAATAGCTCACTATGTGGCCTAGATATTGGAGGTTAGGTAATACCGATTTATGTGTTATTAGGCGCTCAACTCCCATCCCCGTCGATCAACTCATACATTTAATTCAACTTTCTCTTTTCTTCCCTTCCCGGCCTTACCTTCTCGACGTGCAACAAACCTGACATAGATTCTACCACGAGCTATGATTCAAACAAAATCCAATCAACATTTTCCCTTTCCATTCTCAAATCATGTATAGCCATTCAAGTCCCACCATCCAATTCACCGAGGAACATCAAAATTGGAAAGTGAAGTGTTTAGAAGTTATAAGCTCAAGTCCGAAATTGATTCTTTGAACCAGGGCATACGCTCCAAACCTAAATCGGATCATGAATTTGATTGCCGGCGTAGCTTCAGACCTCGCGGCGGCTCGTCTACTACACAATTTTGGAGGATTTGTATGAAGCGGTAGAGTTGGTGATGATCTTAAAGGGAACGATGGTTGGATATTGGATTTGGAGAGGCAGTGTAGGGATTGTGTCTTGGGATCTCTGGTATGGTTAGATGTGCGGAGGTGGTAAACGGAGAAGTTGGGTTTAGAGATCACATAGTGACGAGCTTAAAGGGAAGCAGAGGCATGTAGTTAGGGCTTGCAACACTGTGAGAAGAAGATTCAATTCAGTTAGGGTTTTTTTCACAATAGAAGATTGATGGATAGGAAATTTGAAGCAGAATGGTCGCAATGGTTCTGAGCTTGTGTGGCAGTTCGTCGAACTTTCGTTGTGTGTTGGCAACCGCGGATGGGTTTTAAAATTTGTCACAGGGGTGGAACCAGTTACTTGACTCACCTCATCTCTTCGAAGATTTGAGCGATCAGATGGTCGATGAGAAAATTTCGGTTTGGGGCTGAGATATAGGGGTTAGACAATGAAGAGAGAAAATTTTAAAAATTCCAAAGTGGCACATGAAACAATTTGATTGTGTGCCACATCACTTCTAACTCAACAAGTTTCTACGTCAGAGTCGACTAACGGTTGAACGGACGGGAAGTTGACAATTTAACTATTAAAATATTTTTGAAATAATTGGTCTATTATTTTGTTTAAAACAAAAGGTTGAACTATTATATTATTTTAATCCTAATATTTAATATGATTCCTAAATAATAACTACAACTGAATCAAATACTTAACTAAAAACAAACACAAATAAGTATAATAATAACGAATTTCCAGCCAAAAGTCTCGTTATGAATCACATAACACAAACAAAATGACCTGAAGAACAAGCCACAATATTTGTTTGTAATTTTGAAAGATGATCAAAATTTATCAGTTATGTTGCTGGCATACATAGATAAGCTCCCTCGTAAATTCAGTTATGTATAACGTCTCCCTCGTAAATTCAGTAATGACATGGACTTGGGTATTATACGCAGTTGAAACATCGATCGATATCAAACGCGGCGACCGACGAATCCTCCATTGCCTGTCGCAGCAACAGCAGCTGGCGCTGCCCTCATAATCACTCCATGATTGGCAAGCGCCGCTGTTCTGGCGACGGCGGCCGCCTTTCTCTCTCTGTCGGCACGATTGCATTCCCTTCCGACGAGGCAAACCAGAACCAACAGCATCATACCAACCAGGGGAGCCGCCATAACCAGCAATTCGTGCTGTTGCTCCCATCCGGATTTGAGGAAATCCGGTATGAACCCGCCATCAGCACGACGAAACAGAGCACTACTCGCCAATAAGAAGCAGAGCAAGATAGCTGTTGAAATCATCATTGTAAGTAAGTAGCTGGTGAGGATTCTTTTGCTCAGGGTTTAACTTATGGGTGGAGAGAATTTAGAGCTCGCTTAGCTTCCGGTATTTATGAGATGGGTCGCCTGCAGAAAATAGAAAGGATGGATATTGCGGGAGGAAGTTCTTGGTTTGGGGCTTAGCCCGTCTGTGGTAGAAAAGAGAAAAACAGAACAAATCATTGAGGAACCGGATATAGGAAAAGGAGACCTGCTCTGTTTTAATGAAGTTGGTTAGCGCTTCTCCATTTAGGAAGAATAGTCCGGCAAGGAAGACACTCCTTTTTTTTCTGGTGAAGTAGATGTCACTGGTGCTGGTTGGTTACATTACTGACAGCTACAGCCTACAGATATTCGTCTCTCTGTTTGGCGAGGATAGGTACTTCCAACCCTGTTTTCTCAATGTCAATTCAGACAAGCATGTAATACGGGTGGAGGCGAGAATACAGAGAGTCGTTGGGGTGACTAAGATGTGCAATTCAACGTTAGAGATCAAGCTTCTGCACTTTCACACACATCACATTAGACGAATTGTAGTTTTCCCCCTTTTGAACAAAGAACCATTCACAAAGTATCATATGGTTACAGGCTCACATGGATGGTTGAAGTGTGTGGTTTTAAGTAGGTGGATATGAAACTAGATCGAACGATCCATATTGGGTGAGTGTAATTTGAAACGTTATATTTTCTGAGTCCTCCCGTTATAAACCAGTAACTAGATGTAGTGGTCGTGATGTGGCTCTATGAGTACAATCGCATTATAGAGGTTGTGACCAATGTATATAAGAAGTAGCGCAATATACATATCAAAGTTTCGTAATGCATGATAGCAATGTGTGATGCGTACCAAAATTTCACTCATATCATAAATTTGAGAAAGACAAAGTAGGCATTAGTTTCATGTACACCATAATCACTCACCTGTCGAAATATATTCATAAAATTAGCTTGTGCTCGGAAGATTTCAACTTATATAAAACAAAAATTCAATCACATTCGTGTTATTGAATCAAAATTTAAGGTTATGCAAATATGTGTTGTGTGTTGTGTTGTTCGCGGTAGTTGTCGTAGTTGGTAAAGTATGAGTAAAAATACTCAGAACACACAAGGTGGGATGAGAAAATATATATGCCTAAGAAAAACACGATTATGCAACAGATCATAGTGATGAAATAAAACTAAAGATAATATAGAATTAGCTTTGTTCATGAATACTGAAAAGAGAAACAACGGTCTTATATAAGAAAATTAATTCCTTCCCCGATAAAAATATTTGGGCTTAAATGAAAATGCATGAGGTGTGTCAATAGAAGAAGAAAAATGTACATTTAATAATAAATTAATAAGGAAACTAAATAATTCCTTCCCCTTCTCTTTTTTCAATCAAAACCTTGCAGAGAAGATCGATTAGTTGCAAGAAATGTACCGAAGCAGAATCTTAGAGGTGAGTATGCAAATTAAAGTGAATTTGGTGTTGACTTAAACAAACTTGGGCAAGCGACAAGGCTTCAGAGAGTAAGACACACATACGAGAAATGGTGTATGCAAAGTGAGAAATCGTTAGATCTGGGAACTCTCCATGTTTTGCCTCATCTTTGCTTCGGCTTCTCTTTCTTATGCTGTCGTGGGTCATTACATTTCTGTTTTCTTATTATGATTCGAGCCAAAACTCTAATTCAGTGGGAAATATATAACACTGAGAGCTTAAGTTTTATTACTGATTTTAGGGGGAGTTCTATGGTGCCGGCACCTGTGCAGGTGCTGAATCCGCGCAGTAGAAGTTAGATTGCTTTGATTTTGGTTATTGGTCTCGATTTGATTAAATAATAAATGTATAAAACAAAAATAAAAAGAAACGCTGAAAATGTCCCTGAATCCTTCCCTTCCACAACTCCTTTTACCCATCCTTTTCACATTCTCAATCCTCCTGGTAAAGAAATGCAATCCCAACTCTTCGCTCTCCCGGTCGGCCATCCAAATCGCCATCATCGTTACCGGTGGTTGGTCATCACCACTATCATCATTTTCCGCTGCCACCTAGGGATGGCAATAAGTTGGGTTGGGTCGGGTTTTGCCAAACTCAAACCCATGGGTTTATCCGTGAAAAAACCCGGGGTAAAACCCACTGGGTTTGAAAAACTCAAACCCAACCCAACCCGCTGGGTATCCACTGGTTTTTGTCGTAAAAATTTACAATAACAAGTTCCTATCAAAATTAAAGTCAAATATCAATCTCTCAATACAAATTATTAATATATAAAACACTTCTAGAAAATTCAAGCAAATCACAATTTAATTATACAAATTGTTCAACACCAATCTAGAAAACTCAAGAAAATTGAAGCAAATCACAAATTATCCATAAATAACATGATTAGTTGAAAGCTTATTTCTCCTTGTCAATTAAGTTTCTTCACTCTCCACTCGATACAATCAACTTCATTCCACACAATTAGAAAGAAAAAATTAGACATGTCTCCACAAACATAAATAAGATTAGTTGTTTAGAATATTAAATATACCGAGAAAACTAATTATCTGGGTGTGGGCGGGTACCCATGGGGCGGGTAATGAGAACTGCAAGAACAGACTGTGCTAAAGTAATCCTTGCAGCCAAAGATAACGTTGCAACTTTCCATCCTGCAAGCCGAGCATCAATCTTGTCAATTAAATCAATGTAAGTTGACTTCGAGACTCGGTCGTGAATAACCGGGACCCCTAAATAGAGATGCATTAGACCAACTGCGAGGACAGACAATGTTGAATGGTAGGCCTCAGTGTCCACAGGAAATAGAGAAAACTAAGACTGAAGCCCGGGATATATATCTACAGATTAAGACTCTACCTCTACCTACTGCGCTGATTGCTCCTGCAATCGCTCCAGCAAAAGCGGAAATAAAGCCTATTATCTCACCTGAGATGCGTTCAAGACACGTGTGACAGGCTGCACGGTTAATCTGTGCTTCTCTCTGGATACCAGCCGCATGATTCCCCTCGCAAAATAACCGCGCTCCCTAAGCCGAGTTGGCATGGAAGAACTGCTGCGTAGCAGTAAATCCTTCTCTATACAAGTTCTCGGACGAGGTTTTTGAACAGAACTTTGATAGGTGAGAAGTATTCCTTCTATTCCACTCACGTTTATCTGTATTCTTTTGCTCATATTCCATGATGAATTAAAGTAAGCGCAGCTATCCCCTATATGTCTAAACCTTTTTCAAGGAGATACTCTCTCAGGGGTATATATACAACCAGACTACCCGGTCTTTCTTTGTTCGAAGTCATTATTCTTACGGCAAAGCTGGATGCCCGATCTTTATTTCCCCAGCTCTTGGTCTTCGATCCTACTTCTCCGGTTAGGCAAACTTTACTCTTAAGAGACTGACTTGGGCATAGAATCTCATTCCCACTAGATCCACTGAAGCTATATTGGCATATTTCTTCGAATTTGAATCTTCCTTACAGGTGAAATCCTGCAAGCCTTTTTAGATCTTCCAAGGGCATACGTATTTACTTTCTTCATGTTGTTTGGGAGTCAAAGCAGTGGTGAGACACTATATCTGTGTCTGGTAAGCTTACGAGTTCGACTGTGCGACGGAAGAAGGTCAGAGGTCTACTATCCATAGTTAGTAAATACTCCGTTTAATACACTATATGTACCCATACATACTTTATCCGTTTAAAACTTCTGTATTTGTATTATTGCCAAGCCGTTTCATTAGTTTCCGTTCATTTGACGGCTCCTGTACTAAACACGTATAAAACCCGTATAATAGATATCCGTATTTAATGAAATAAATTATCAACTTTACTATTTTTACATATTTATTACTTATAAAAATAATTAATTTTATATATTTATGATTATTAACGTACTATGAAACGTAACATTAGCTAAGAGACAAAGTATAATACCCGTATGTATTTTATAAGTAACTATTTTGTACCGTATTTTACTAACTATGCTACTATCTATATATCACATGAAGAATTCACATTGATATGAGGATGGAGTTGTCTAGTGGTAAAGAGCTAACTGGTTGTAATCAATATTGGACTGAAGTTAGTGCATCAACTGCTTAAACAGCTTTGGCGAAGTCAGTACTAGATTTTTTCCTCTCTTTACACTAAATAACAGCATTCCTCAACCTTCGGTCGAGTATATTGCATTCCTCAACCCGATTAGGCATTTAGCCCTTCAAAATGGATTTCTTGTGAGTGGAAAGTGCAGCTCTTTAGTCTACCCATTGTCACGAGTCAAAGACCACACCCTTTTCTTTTAATGATTCTTGTGCAATCGGAATTTTGCTCGACCCACACTTCTATCTTCTCGACCAATCTTGGTGAAAGAAGTCAAGCCAGAAGTCACTAAAGAAGAGACCTCCGCTTCCTCGGCTAAACTCTTTCTCTGGGGTGACATGTCGGACCACAACCGGGCAGGAACCCTTTATTCCATTCTGCCTGAAGCTCGCCTTCAAAATGGATCTAATTGCACTTCACGCCCCGTGTTCTTTACGTCTTTTGGTCCGCCACCAGAACTTGGCTGAACCATCAAGATACATGGCAGCCGTATTCACCGACGCCTCCTTGGACGTAGTCCGACAAGCCGCTCCATATCCAAAAAGTCTTTGATCCTTAGCATCTCGAGTGCCAATGAATGCCTTTGATTTCACTTGATTCGAACCATCTCTGCCGCGCCTCTTCGACGACACTAGCCTACGTGTTCTTCCCACCAGCCATGGCTTGGCCTAACCTTTGGTCAGATAGAAGGTGTGAGCCTATGGATCAAGGAGAGGGGTCAGGAGCTGGACGTGGACGTGGAACTAGTGGAAGAAGAAACCAAAGGGCCCAGGTCAGTCTTTCACTTCCATTGGAGGGAGAGGCAGAGCCAGCCAATGAGGACTCCTTTAGTGCCTTACAGGGTGGTCTCATAGATCTAAATGAACTTTATCTTTCCCCGGGAGACATCTATTTTTATAATGAGAGAGGCATGGACCAATGCAATGGTGTCAAAAAAGGCATTTTTTTTTGACGATAATGGATGGTTGTAATAAGGGAGTGACGCCTGAGGAAGATATACACCCCTTTTGAATTAGACTTTCCTTACTTGAAAG